TATATATATATATATATGTGTGTATATGTATGTATATGTATATATATATATATGTGTGTGTGTATGTATATACAGTGGGGAGAACAAGTATTTGATACACTGTTGATTTTTCAGGTTTTCCCACTTGCAAAGCTTGTAGATGACTGTAATTTTTATCATAGGTACTCTTCAATTGTGAGTGATGGAATCTAAAACAAAAATCCAGAAAAATACAATGTATGATTTTTAAATAATTAATTTCCATTTTATTGTGTGAAATAAGTATTTGATACACCAGAAAAATGAAACTTAATATTTGGTACAGAAACCTTTGTTTGCAATTACAGAGATCAGACGTTTCCTGTAGTTCTTGACCAGGTTTGCACACACTGCAGCAGGGATTTTGGCCCACTCCTCCATACAGATCTCCTCCAGAGCCTTCAGGTTTCGGGGCTGTCGCTGGGTCACACGGACTTTAAGTTCCCTCCAAAGATTTTCTATGGGATTCAGGTCTGGAGACTGGCTAGGCCACTCCAGGACCTTAAGATGTTTCCTACGGAGCCACTCTTTAGTTGCCCTGGCTGTGTGTTTTGGGTCGTTATCATGCTGGAAGACCCAGCCACGACCCATCTTCAGTGCTCTTACTGAGGGAAGGATGTTGTTGGCCAAAATCTCACGATACATGGCCCCATCCATCCTTCCCACAATATGGTGCAGTCGTCCTGTCCCCTTTGCAGAAAAGCATCCCCAAAGAATGATGTTTCCACCGCCATGCTTCACGGTTGGGATGGTGTTCTTGGGGTTGTACTCATCATTCTTCTTCCTCCAAACATGACGAGTGGAGTTTAAACCAAAAAGTTCTATTTTTGTCTCATCAGACCACATGACCTTCTCCCATTCCTCCTCTGGATCATTCAGATGGTCATTTGCAAACTACACTAAAAAAAAGAAGAGTAGAAGCGTTTCGTCTTTCATCCAAAAGACTCACCCCACCACCAGATGAAGAGCATCTCAGCGTGACCTCAGCCGAGGTAAGGAGTATTTTCATGAGGATTAATCCGCACAAGGCAACCGGCCCAGACAACATCCCCGAGAAAGTGTTGAAAGAATGTGCCGATCAGCTCTGCGAGGTGCTGGCAGACATCTTTAACACCTCTTTTACCATGGAGACAGTTCCCACCTGCCTGAAGACTGCCACCATCATCCCAGTCCCAAAGAGCTCTACAGTGACTGGTCTGAATGACTATCGGCCAGTAGCCCTCACCCCGATAGTTGCTAAATACTTCGAAAAACTGGTCATGACTCACATCAAAACAACCATCAACATCAACGAGGACCCTCATCAGTATGCATACCATGAGAACCGATCAAAAGAGGATGCCATCTCCTCTGTGGTCCACACTGCGCTCAACCACCTGGAGCAAAAGGACTCCTACGTCCGTATGCTCTTTGTGGACTTCACATCTGCCTTCAACACCATGATCCCCCAAACCCTGATGGACAAACTACTCACACTAGGACTAAGCCCCTCCATTTGTAACTGGGTACTAGACTTCCTAACAAACAAACAAACCACAGTTAGTGAGGATCCACAACCTCTCCTCCTCCACCATAACCCTCAGCACTGGCTCTCCTCAGGGATGTGTGTTGAGCCCCCTCCTGTTTACTCTGCTCACGTATGATTGTGCAGCTACCCATCCAGGCTGTCACATTGTAAAGTTTGCAGATGATACAGCGGTGGTGGGATGCATCACAAACGATGATGAGTCCAGCTACAGGCAAGAGGTGGAACACCTGGAGAGCTGGTGCAAAGAGAATAACCTTCACATCAATGTGAAGAAGACAAAGGAGATGATTGTGGACTTCAGAAGGAACAAACACATCTACACCCCCCGAACATAAGAGGATCTGCGGTGGAAGTGGTCTCCAGCTACAAGTACTTGGGTGTACACATGAATGACAACCTCATCTGGAGCAACAACACCACCAGCCTGATCAAGAAAGCTCATCAGAGACTCTACTTCCTCAGGCGGCTGAGACGAGCTGGTCTGGAAGCTCAGTCCTCACCTCCTTCTACAGGTGTGCAGTGGAGAGCATCCTGTGCTCCAGGAGAGCATCCTGTGCTCCAGCATCAACGTGTGGCATGGAGGCTGCACAGCTGCAGAAAGAAAAGCCTTGCAGAGAGTGGTGAAGGCTGCACAGAAGATGTTGGAGTCAGTCTCTCCACCATCACAGACATCTACACCTCTAGATCCAGGAAGAGGGCCACCTGCATCATGAAGGACCTCACTCACCCAGCACACACACTTTTTGCCCCACTCCCCTCAGGAAGGAGGTTGAGGAGCATTAAGTGTAGAACCACTAGACTGAGGAACAGCTTCTACCCTGAGGCTGTTAGACTCATGAATCTCCAACCAAAATAATCACTGTGAAAAAAATCACATCATGTTGCTGCTGATCTGTTT